CCCCCCCAAAAAAAAAGACCCTCTGTAAACAGTAGTAGGCCTACCAACTCGAGTGTCTGTGGTAGTGACGGGCGTCTACCCAGTGACCTCTGCTGGCAGTTTCGTCACATCCCTGTTGTTTGATGATAGACAGTTTTGGTGGTCTAGTGATTAGGCTACTGGGCTCGTTATCGTGAGGTTGCGGGTTCGGGGGTTTGAGTTTGAGACTCTCCGCTCGGTCTGATGGTGTGTCCTAGGGGAACGGCACTGTACACGAATGTTCCTATAGGAGATAGATGTAGAATCGTAACCCTATCCGTACGCCCTGGGGTCATTTTGTACCCCCGGGGTTCTATTCTTCACATACTATAATACATTTTACTTCTAGTATGGAGATATCTTTGAAACTTTCAGTATTTCTCAAAAAATCATTTTGACCGACTTCTATGCAAAGCGGACGGATCGGGTTATCGAGTAAATTTCCTCTCTGGAAAGTGGTGGCACAGAGTTCTCCGCGTCGTATAGATACAATAGTAAAACACGACGTACGGATAGGGTTAGGTGATGGCACAGAGTTCCCCAAGTCGTTTAGATGCGATAGTAAAACACGACATACGGATAGGGTTTTAAATACTATTACAATTTGCAAGAGGCGTTAAAACCTATACACTTCCAGAGTATTATTTGGCCTTCATCTGCATACGTTGAATATTATGACTGCAAATATTATGTGAGGGTGCTGAAAAAAGGAGTTACTTCTCGCAATCCAAGAATGGAGATGTCGGGCCGAAAATCAACATTGGGGTCAGATTTATAGATTTTCAGTCGATGCCGTTTTGTTCAAGTCTACCGTGTCTTTTACAAAGTTGATGTATCAATTTCCATACCGCTAAAATCTTAAAGTAATAACTCCTTTTGTCAGCACACCTCACATATTATTAACCCAGCTGACCTTAGAACACTCACGATCTCTCTGGGCTTACTGGGACGCATGCAGTTGAAGCTGCGGGTTTCATGGGCTGACATACTTAACAATTGACAAGATCTTTTACTGTCTCTCACTGGACACCCATCCCCACCTAGGTGAAGTGAGGACAGTTCGTGTAAAGTGCCTTTCCAAGGACACAACGTTGAGGCCATGACGGGGTCAAAACTCACGACCTTAAGTTTAGAGCTCGAAAGCCTAACCACAAGACCACCAACTCCACAGATGTTGTGTGAGTTTATCACGACCTGAGCTAAATGGTGAACTAGGGAGCTATCCCGAAAAAAAAAGTTGTTTTGAGAAAATCGAAGGTAAAGTTTTCGCCCCTTCTTCAGTTTCTTTAAAAGACGAGGAGAGTTTTCTTTTTTATTGAGACAAAGAAGAATTCCAGAGGAAATCCTTAAATGCCACTTTCTATAACAAGTAGTTTAATAGGTCGCTTTTAAGCACAAGGGCGCTATCCCGAAAAATGCTGTTTTGAGAATTTCGAAGGTAAAGTTTTTGAACCCTTGTTCAGTTTCTTTAAAAGACAAGGATGGTTTTCTTTATAACCAAGCAGATAGAACTTTTTGTTTAAAAAAAAAAAGAAAAAGAAAAAAGAAAAAAAAGTGTCCCCCC